AAAATTACATGATTACACTTAATAGGGTGTATTAATGTGAAGGCAAAATATGAATGACAAATTTTGTAACTTCTTTTTGAGGAAAAATAAATGAGGTTTTATTAATTATATTTTATAAATACATAATTACACTTAATTAGGTTTTATGAATGATATTATTATTATTATTATAATTTTATATTTCATGAAACAATTTTCTTTAGAACAATTAGTAAATAGTTTTAATAGTATAGTAAAAAACCTTTAAAATCTTATAAACGATTGTCGTTGTAATAAGAATAGTATTATAATAATAATAATAATAATAATAATAATAATAATAATAATAATAATAATAATAATAATAATAAAGTTTTCAAATAAATTATTTGACCATGATCCCTCCAAATTATAAAAATTACATTACCCACATTTTTTTTTAATAAATATAGTGATTCATATATACTCAAATAATTTATATAAATATTATTTTATTTTTACTAATGATTAAATCTTGAAAATGTGGTATGTCCATTATCTAGAATTTTAATATTAAATTCACATATTTTGGAAATGTGATATGTTTATCATCTATAATTTTAATATTAAATTCATATATATTACTTATAATATTTTATGTACATCTGTGCATGTGGACAGGATGATAACTAATTCTTTTTAAGTTGGGGTTGTTATGAGAAAAGAGCACTTAAAAACTAGGTGGAGTTAGAAACTTATAATGATTTTTAACTCATGTCAATTAATGATCTTTAACACATGTTTATTAATTTTTCTTACAATGCTGTCACTTTGAAAGATAATTAATTTAATACATGTCAAATAATGATTACAATATTAATCCACATATTAATACTATTGAAAGACTGGAAATTTAAATTAAATTAGTATTTTCAATATATGTGGATGAATTAAAATAATTTATCAACCCAAGAATAATAAAAAAATTAAACTAAATATAAAATAAGTTGATAAGTCACCATGTTGAACACTATGTTAGATATGCGCTTAACATTGTCAAAATTAAATATCATCTGTAAAACAATTCATGACGAGATAACATTGTCATAATTAAATATCATCCGTTAAAAACAATTTATGACGAGATATATTGAAAAATTGTTATAAAATGGGAGTAATATAAAGAACACAATGTATAAAAACCAGATATAAACTATAACAACTTTCTTCCTTTCTTTCTTCACTTTTCGTGTGTAAAATCACATTACATGTATTGCCTTTTATAGGCAAACTTAAGGCACACAATCCAATGCATATTAAATAGAATAATGTAGATAAAGTTTACTAGTGGTAAATTCCACTTTTACATAACACTCCCCCTTGGAATTACCACTATTAAATGTGCGTTTATGCTGCCTCGTTAAAAACCTTATCTGGAAAAACCCTGTGGGAAAAAAACCGAGATAAGGAAAAAAGAGTACAGCCGCACATACTCCCCCTCGAATTATCATCCGTGCAAATCCCTAAGATGCCTCATCCCAACATTGTGCACGTGCTTTCGAAATATTGTCGTCGGAAGCGCCTTTGTAAACAAATCTGCTGCATTATCGCTTGATCGAATGTATTGAACTTTGATTTGTTTGTTTCTTTCAAGCTCTTGCGCATATAAGAATAACTTTGGCGGGATATGTTTAGTTCTGTCACTCTTAATGTATCCTTCTTTCGTTTGAGCGACACATGTTGTATTGTCTTCGTATATCACCATCGGGTCATTATTGTTCGATAGTCCACTGGCTTGTTGAATATGTTGAGTCATGTTTCTGAGCCAGATGCTTTCCCTAGTTGCTTCATGAAGTGCGATGATTTCAGCATGGTTTGAAGATGTCGCAACTAATATTTGTTTCTGTGAACGCCAAGAAAATGCAGTTCCGCCAATCGTAAAAACGTATCCAGTTTGAGATCTTGCTTTATGGGGATCTGAGAGATATCCTGCATCTGCAAAACCGATTATTTCATGTTTTTTATCGTTAGAGTAAAACAGTCCCAAATCGATTGTCCCTTGGAGATAACAGAATATATGCTTGATTCCATTCCAATGTCTCCTCGTAGATGCTGAGTTATATCTTGCTAATAAATTGGTAGCGAAAGATATATCTGGTCCGGTACAATTAGCAAGATACATAAGAGCTCCTATTGCACTCATATATGGTATTTCAGGACCAAGTATTTCTTCATCTTCATCACAAGGTCGAAATGGATCCTTTTCAATATCTAATGTTCGATTTACCATTGGGGTACTAAGTGGATTCGCTTTGTCCATATTGAATCGTTTCAGTATTCTTTTAGTGTAATTAGATTGATGGACAAATATCCCATTTTGGACCCGTTCTATTTGCAAGTCAAGACAATATTTGGTCTGTCCGAGATCTTTCATTTCAAACTCGCCTTTTAGTAAAGTGATTGCTTCTTGGATTTCATTTGTAGTCCCAATAATATT